CGAAAGAATAAAAGCCTTAAAGAAATAACTAGCCAGAGAAATAAACAGCGAAAAGAAAACTGAAAGGAAACACCTTTTTTAAAATAGAGGACAACCGCAGTGGAGAACTAGCACAAGCCTTTCAAATAATACATACAGAGGCACCAATAAACGACTTTACAATGGAAGAGATAATACAAGCAGGAAAGACAGGAAAGGAATCCGGACCTGACACAATGGCGCCGGAAATAATAAAAACCATTATCGAGGAAAATGATGAATAGGCAAAAACTTAATGAACTAATTCTTCTCCTTGGAAGACAGAAATTCCCACTGTTTGGAAAGTGGCAAACCTTATCCTCATCCCTAAACCTGGGAAAGAAATGAAAGAACCGGCTGCTTGTAGGCGAATATGCTTGCCAAATACACTAGGCGAGCTATTCGAAATCCTTAACTCAAGGCTCAAAATAGAATAAAAGGGACACCTGTTGGACCACCAGTTTGTGTTCACAAAAGGCAGATCTGCCATAAACAGGTTAAGATGGTGGCACTCTTCCTGAACATCATTAAGATGGTGGCATTCAATAACACGGGGAAAATCATCTAACTAGTGGAAGAATTTAAAATATCCCCATACATGGGGAACTTGGTAAGGGATTATGTCACAGACAGGAACATTAATATAACTAAAGACTACACAGTAAAACCATCTGCCGATGTTCCACAGGGCTCAGTCATAGGACCGCTGCTCTGGAATGCTAAATACAGCCCTTGAACTAGTTAGAAGGTGGCTACAGGAAAAACACTGATGCCAGTCACACAGAAGAAGGATACCATAATCTCTAAGGGCCCAAGAGTGAGAGAGCATATCTCCTTTATTTGGAAAGAGAAATTATCCTATCTATACTCAAGAAAGACAAATATCTGGGAGTAATACTGAATGCAACCAGAGCCTCTGTTAGAAGTAATATATGCCGCGAAAAAAACCGATCAAAGAACAGCAGCGGTAACAAAGATCATGCCAAACGTAGGAGGTCCAGGGAGAGGCAGAAGGAGAATTCTTATGAATGTTGACAAGAAAAGGGAAAGTCAAAAGGGCACTACACCATATCTTCGCTATTAATGAACGTGTAGCGTTATAAAGTCGGAAAAATGAAATATTACCCATGAACGATCACATCAATCACTTATTTTGTATTAGCTGTCTTTTCTATAAATAACAATCATTTGTTATAGAAAAAGACAACAAATACAAAATAAGTGATTGATATGATCGTTTATGGGTAGTTTTTCATTTTTCCGACTGTATGAGATATCACATGACACTACGCTTAAAGATATACTACTACAGTATTGTGTGAATTAGTGGAATCATTAGACATTTTTCAATATTCACAGTTGGCAACACTGTCCACACATTTACAACTGACCAATCATTGAATACATAACCTTACATTGCTCTGCCTTTAATTTGAGTGCGTTTTAGGACATTTATCACTAAATTTGTGTTGTTTTGTTCTATTTTGTGTTGTTTTCGGTAGTTAGTGAGTTTGTTTCGTTTAATTCCATTATGGATATTATGCCTAGGAAGCGTGAAAAGATTATCACGTTAAGTGAACACACTTCTATGTTACAAAGAGAATTCGCAAGAATGTGTCGAGTGAGTCAGGATATAAAAAGCAAGATTTTGAAGAGTAAAATGAGAACAGCAGGCAGACGTACGCAATAATGAACACACATCAGAAGAGTTCGAAGTTTAAAGAGGAGTGCGACAGGGATGTGTATTGTCACCAATACTATTCAATGCATACTCTGAAGAAATAATGAAAAGAGCTCTTGAGGGAGAAACAGCAGGAATCAAGGTCAATGGAACACCAATTAACAACATTAGATATGCGGACGATACTATCATAATAGCAGACAACCTCCAAAAGCTAATGAACAAGATAGTTGAGTATGGAGAAGAATATGGATTATCAATAAACACCAAGAAAACCAAATTTATGAGGATATCAAAAACCCAAAATAATGGTGAAAGCCTGACAATTAACAGTAGTGCTTTAGAACAAGTTGAAAACTACCACTATCTTGGCACAATAATTAATCACACAAACGATTACTCCAAAGAAATCAAAGTTCGAATAGAGAAAGCACGTACAAACTTCAATAAAATGAGAAAGGTGCTTTGTGCAAGAGAACTAAAATTGGACTTGAGAGTTAGGCTGGCAAGGTGTTATATTTTCTCGACTCTGCTTTATGGGATGGAAGCATGGACACTTAACGCGTCGACTGCTAAAAAGTTTTAAGCATTTGAAATGTGGGTGTATAGAAGAATCCTGAAGATATCATGGACCGAGCATGCAACAAACAACGAAGTCATGAGAAGAATCAACAAAAGAATCGAGGTATTAGAAACCATCAAGACACGAAAGCTGCAATACCTGGGGCATGTTATGCATGTTAATGAGAGATACAACCTACTTCAATTGATTATACAAGGGAAAATCCAGGGCAAGAGAAGTGTAGGAAGAAGAAGAAGCTCATGGTTGCGTAACTTGAGAGAATGGTACGGATGCACATCAATTGAACTATTCAGAGCAGCAGCATCTAAGATCAGAATAGCCATGATAATTGCCAACCTCCGTCGCGGAGATGGTACGTGAAGAAGAAACGAGCAGCGGGATCAATAGATGTGAAAAGTTTAGGAAAATGCGGAAGAAAGAGAAAAACAACACCAGCAGATGAAAGATTTTTACTTCGAAAGAGCAAATTGGACCCAAGAAAAACAATCCAAGAGCTCCAACACGATTTAGCAGCGTCAGGTGTAGCGACTCACCTGTTCGGAAAGACTTGTGGGGAATTGTATAGAAGGGCAATGCGTCCAGAGAAAAAACAGCTTTTAACTGAACGAATAAAGAATCAAAAGCTATTGTTGACCAGAAAATTGGACTGTAGATAATTGGAGAAAAGTCCTATATAAAGAAACTCACTTTATAGTTCAGGGACAGCCGTCGAAATTCGCCAGGAAATCTAACAATGAAAACCTTAGACCATCTCATATTGATGAAACCGTAAAACATCCAGTAAAAAAAATGTTTTGGGGATGATTTTTATACGTGGGAGGGATCTTTGGTACCCATCGAAGGCATGTGAATAGCCAAAAATACAAATCCACGTTGGAATAGCGTTTGGACACAGAACTCCAAAAATGTCAACCCCAAGGAGGAGTGATTCTTTAACAGGGATCTGATCCCTGTCACAAGTCAAAGCAAATGATGGAATTTTTCAAAAATAAGAAGATTCATGCCTTAGATTGGCCCGGTAATTCTCCAGACCTCAATCCCATTGAAAATTTAGGAGCCATTTGCAAAGCTAGACAGCTCAACTGTACTACAAAAATAAAAATGATACAAGCGGTCATTGAGGTTTGATTTCGAGATGCAAGGATATCTGAGAACTGTCAGAAGCTGGTAGAATATATGCCAAAACGGGTAAAAACAGTAATTGTAGCCAAAGCCAAGCCAATAAACTGTTTTTTCATTAAAACAGCCTACGACTACATTAATTCACACAGTACTGTATAAGGCAAACTTGAGTTGAAGGTACTTGATCTATTGACGTGCAGAAAGCTTCTGATTGAGCACAAAATAAACGATTGTCGAAAAAAAAAACAATAAAAGAGGTGGGGATGAGAAATGAGCAGACTTTACATGAAAAAGGTTTTTCTCTAGTGTGTATTCTCAGATGTATTCCTGTGAAAACGATTTGGAGCAAATTTCACAAGTAAAAAGTTTATCTATAGGGATGTCTAAGATGTGTTCATAAATTGGATTTTTGTTGAAACAATTTCGAGTAAATTTTACATGTAAAAACTCTATCGTTTATTCTCAGATGTTTTTAAAGCGGATTTTATCTTCAAGGTTTCCCTCTAGTATGTACACTGATATCTTTTTAGATTGGATTTTTGTGAAAAAAAAATTTATCTTCTGTGTGTAACCATATAGGTTATTTTAAACAGAATATAAGGAAAACGATTTTCACAACTAAAAGGTTTATCTCCAGATCATAATCAGAGATGTGTTTTTTAAAAATAATTTGGATCAAGTTGCACGAGTATATCTCCAGTGTGTACTCTCAGATGTCTTCGTAAATTGGATTTTCGTGAAAACATTTTGGAGCATATTTCACATACAAAAGGTTTATTTCCTGTGTGTATTTTCATATGCGAATTTAAATTGTATTTTTTTGAAAAAAATTTGGAACAAATTGTGCAACTAAAAGTGTGTTTTCCCAGATGTTTTCGTAAATTGGATTTGTTTGAAAACAATTTCGAGCAAATTTCACATGTAAAACGTTTTTCTCGAGTGTGCATTCTCCGATGTTTTTGTAAATGGGCTTTTTGTAAAAACGATTTAGAGCAAATTTCGCATATAAAAGGTTTTTCTCCATTGTGTTTTCTCATGTCTTCGTACATTGGATTTATGTAAAAACAATTTGAAGCAAATTTCACATTTGAAAGGTTTGTATCCTTTGTGTATTTTAAGATGCTCAGTTAAATTGGATTTTCGTGAAAACAATTTGGAGCAAAATTTCACATGCGAAAGGTTTTTCTTTAGTATTTATACTTAAATCGCATGTTAAAAGTTTTTTTTTTAGCAGAGTGGGTTTTCACTTGTGATTGTAAATGAGAATTTTCTGAAACAGTGCGGTTTTTGGTGCATATTTTGCACGTGAACATTCTTTTTTTGGTGTTTTCAGTTATATCTGCTTTTAAATGATTTTTTGTTGAAAATTGTTTGGAGCATATTTCACAGGAAATAGAGTTTTTTCACTATTCACATTCGTTCTAACATAGTCTTTGAATGCTTTGCTTGGTTCAGTTTGTGTATCTTCACGGGGAAGACCTAAAATCGTGAAAATATATTAAACCGATATCACATATCTACAGCAAAGACAAATAAATGTCATATGATTGGTAAGATCAATCTTGGAAGGAAGAAGGTATGAATCGTAAGAATATTAGCAAATAGTTTTATTTTTTTATGTATTAATTGTATAATGTGTTGGACACTTAACAATACAATTTAATAAACAAACTAATACAAAGGAAATGGTGAATATGCATAGTTTTAACTAGTGTGCTTTTATATGTGTATTGAAACTTCTTGGAAATTATTTGATGTAAATTTTACACATAACAGATTTTTAGTCAGTTTTATTCTCATGATTTTTTTTTCAATTGGACACTTGCTTTCAAGCAAACTTCATTAAAAGGTTTTTTGATATATTGCGTATTCGCTTTTCGTTTTTTAATGGGGACTTTTGTGAAAACAATTTGGAAAAAAGTTCACTTGTAAATGGGATCTCTGTAAAAATAATTTGGAGCGAAGTTCACAGTAAAAAGGTTTTTATACATTGTGTATCCTCATATGGGTTTTTAAAGATTTTTTTGAAAATATCTTTTTGTAGTAAAAGGGCTGAACGGCAAGAGTACAAAATCGTCGGTTTCCTCATGTAGATCGCCATAAGAAATTCTAAGTTCATTCTGTTCATTTTGGTCTCGTTTCTTGGTGGAGACTCGATCTTCACGTACCATGACGGCGACTGTCAAAACGGCACTACATCGTATATTCGTTATTAATGAACGTGTAGCGATATATGAGATATCACATGACACTATGCATAATAGATATACTATAAAGTTTAACTTCAGGTTAAGCGGATTTTAACTAGGTTTTTCTCCAATGTGTATTCTTAGATGTGTTTGTAAATTGAATTTCGTGAAAACAATTTGGAGCATATTTCACATGCAAAAGGTTTATCTCCCGTGTGTATTTTAATATGCACAATTAAATTAGATTTTCGTGAAAAAAATTGGAGCAAATTACGTAAGTAAAAGATACATTTCCAGCATGTTTTCTCAGATGTGTTTGTAAATGGGATCTTTGTTAAAATTATTTAGAGCAAATTTTATAAGTAAAAAGTTTATCTTAAGTATGTTTTCTCAGATGTCTTCGTAAATTGGAATTTCGTGAAAACAATTTGAAGCATATTTCACATGCAAAAGATTTATCTCCCGTATGTATTTTCATGTGCTCATTTAAAGAGGATTTTTGTGAAAACAATTTGGAACAAATTTCGCAAATAGAAAGTTTATCTTCGGTGTGTTTTCCCAGATGTTTTCGTAAATTGGATTGGTCTGAAAACAATTTGGAGCAAATTTTACATGCAAAATGTTTTTCTCGAGTGTATATTCTCAGATGTTTTTGTAAATGATATTTTTGTGAAAAAGATTTAAAGCAAATTTCACATCTAAAAGGTTTTTCCCCAGTGTGTATTCTGAGATGTATTTTTAAATCAGTTTTTTGTGAAAACAATTTAGAGCAAATTTCACATGTAAAAGGTTTTTCGCCAGTGTGTTTTCTCAGATGTCTTTGTAAACTGCATTTATGTGAAAACAATATGGAGCAAATTTCACATTTGAAAGGCTTGCCTCCTTCATGTAATTTCAGATGCCAATTTAGATTGGATTTTCTTGAAAACAATTTAGAGCATATTTCACATGCAAAAGGTTTATCTCCCGTGTGTATTATCATATGCTCATTTAAACTGAATTTTTCTGAAAACAATTTGGAGCAAATTTCGCAAGTAAAAGGTTTATCTCCAGTGTGTTTTCTCAGATGTTTTCGTAAATTGGATTTGTTTGAAAACAATTTCGAGCAAATTTCACATGTAAAATGTTTTTCTTGAGTGTGCACACTAAGAGTTTCACAGGTAACAGATTTTTCAGAATTCACATGCAGCGAAGTAGTTTGATGTTGGTCCAAAACACTGTTAATTTTAACATGGTCTTTGAATACTTTGCTTGCATTTGTTTGTATATTTTCAGGGGAAAAGCCTAAAAGAGTGAATATATATTAAACCAATATCACACACCTACAGCAAAGACAAACAAATATCACAATATTGGTAAAACAACTCGACTCATGCAAAGAAAGCTGTAGTAACTCAATTTGTGTATAATTGGAGTTACTACCTTCTTCTGAATTATTCTATACGTAGCATAGAATATTGTGGTAACTCTAGCGGTTGTATAGGCAACTTAAAATACACAATTCAGTTTTATAGTATGTATGTCAAAGAACCTACCACATTTTCAACGATAACTGCATTAAGTTAAGTTACTGAAATCTTCGCTGCATAATCATCATATTTTTAAACAATATTTATCATATATTGAGTTACTACAGGTTTCTTTGCAAAATGTCTAAATAATGCTGTGTCTTCTTTGAATTAATATTGACTTGTTTGCATTTTCGTGAATAACTTTTTAAGTAATTACTATTTAAATGGGAATAAGCCACAATTAAAGGTTAAAGTAAGTTTATTGACGTTCCAATTTCGACGTCGAAAATCGTTCTCAAAATACAAACATATTGATGGTAGAGACCCATAAAGTATCATAGAAAACTTGTATTGGAAGTAAGAAAGCAGTCATATGATTATATGGGAGATTAACTCACAAATTTTACATTCAAAGAGGCATCAGACAGATATGCAACCTATTCCTGCTTTTATTTAACATCAACTCAGATATAATTTTCAAAGAGGCTTTACAAGATAACAACTTTTTAGTGAAAATCAATGGTGAACTGATTAACAATCATAGATACACTGATGATACTGATATCTTATGCGATAGTCTCCAAGGCCTTCAAGAGGTATTGGATTGTAATCAAACACAACAGGAAGAGAAATGGGTTTAAAAATGAATGTTTCTAAGACAAAATTTATGATTTTTAAAAGACAACTTCACTACAATGCTTCCTACTCATAGATCAACAAAACATTGAGAGAGTTACTCATTTTAAATATCTGGGATGCTATATTACAGACCACCTACACCCAAGTAAAGAGATTACTATTTTTGTTGAGAATAAGCCACAACTTAAGTTTAAAATAAGTTTATAATTGTAGTAAGATGTCACAAAAAGTAGCTTCAGAACAGTAATAAGTAAAGAGATCAAATGCAGAATTAAAGCAGTTCGTACAATGTTTCTAAAAATGAAATTATTCAAATGCTATATTTGGTTAGTGTTTATATATGGCACTGGACTTTGAAGGCTAATTTTATCAATTGTCTAGACCTGAGGCATATAAGATGTGGTTGCATAGAAGAATGCTCCAAATACCCTGGACAGCAATGCAGACCAATGAAGCTGTGTTAAATTAACAACTATTAAAATAACCAAAATTTCATACCTAGGGCATGTTCTTAAAGGAGACTGGTACAGACTCTTTCAGCTTAAGGCTGTTTTATCGGTACACCAAAACTTAGAGATAGTGTTTTCTCTGTTATTTACCGACAAAATGTCTCGAAATTTGGACACCTTATTCAAAATTATGTTGCCTTTAAACTGGTAGTTTTACTTTTTTAATTTTTTTGAAAGTTCTTTTGAAATACCGGATTATGCAGTTTAACGTTCTATTATCACTAAACTTTTTACGCCCATCACTTGAAAGAGTTTTTTTTTCTGTAATCGTTGATTTTTTTTCACCTTTCTGTGTCCAGTAATAATCGAGAAAAGCGTGTTCAAACTTTGAAGAAAATTAGTAAAAAATACTGAAATCTAATATTGAAACGTGTTACTCATCATTGGCACTTACTTCTAGCGTTATCGGCTTCGTGACGTCAAATCTCATGAACGTAACGTCAGTTCAGTTAGTTCGATTTGAAATCATTTTCAAGCTATAACTGCGAAATTGTTTATTTCTTTGTGACAACAAATTGTATTTTTTTTTTGATAATAATATTTTTATGTTATTTTAAATTTATTATAAATAAACACCATGGAGAATATATGGAGAATAATGCATTTATTGTCGTTAAACTACCCGTGGGCCGGCGCCACTATACCCGTAGTCGGCTGGAGGAAGCAGTGTAGAAAAGTAAGTGATACGCGAATTTCAAATCTCAGTGTGCTTTGACTGCTAAAACAACCTTAACATCAAAGGTAGAAACTAGGGCCACAGAGGAATTGGAAGGAAACAGATAGCATGGCTCAATTACATTTGCAATTGGACAGAGTGCTAAACAACTATTCCGATTAGCTGAAGACAGTAAACAATTCACCAATGTAATTGCCAACGTTAGGGGGACCTAATATAGGGGGCACAAAAGCTCAAAACTATTATGCCATAATAATTTGCATGAAGATTTGAATTATATTAAAAATAATGTAAGTTGTTAGAAAAAAATAACTAAACATTACACAAACTTCTGGACAAGGTGCAGACCTGCCACACGCTTCTTGTGTTGATAAGTAGCTGTTGCTCAGCAGGTGTGATTTGAATTTTAGTGACACCCAAGTAACCACCAGACCCTACAGCCACTCAAGGGACATGCATTTCATCATGATTAAATGTAACTGAAACCTATTAATCACTTTTTAGATTTTGAATTACTTTTAGTATTTTTAATAGTAATAGAGTAATTAGGCCTATCAACCCTCCGTTAGTCGCTATCTGTCTCACACACAGACGATAGAATTATTCATTTGGGATTTACAAATAACTGTTATTTTTCTATCGTCATTTCTGTACCTCTCCCTATCAACCAAACTCGTGTTAGTGTACATTCTTACCTGCCTGGGTACAGTTGTGCGAGTTTTATAGTTACTTTCGGTGCTAGACTCCGTAGCGACTAACAGTGTAGCTATAATTTGTTGGCATAACTTGCAGATCAGGTGAATATTTAGCATCTTATATATAATATCTTATATATATATATATATATATATATATATATATATATATATATATATATATATATATATATATATATATAATATCTTATTGCATTCTATCGGTAAGTTTTTGTCAATTCATATTTATAGATGTCCTTTGAAGCAGAACAAAAACACTTGGTGGAATTATGGGTAATGGTTCCTACCGACCATGAAAATTATTTAGATGATAAGGGAAGTGAAAATGAAATCGATCAAATTGACGAATGTGATGCCGTAAGTGAATTGGAACAAGATGTGACAGATGAGGAGGAATAAAGTGAAAGTAATACCTTAGTGTTTATTGGAAAAGATTGAGTTACTAGATGGAAAAGGGCTATTCCACCAAGAAATATGAGGACAAGACAAGATAATTCAGTAGTATGTAATACAAAATATTGTTTGTATCTTGAGAACAATTCCCGAAGTGAAAATTGAAAAGTCAATAAACTTACTTTAGCCTTTAATTATTAAAAGTTAAAGTTAGTTAGTAAACAACTAACGGAACTTACACTCTCTGGCGTAGAGAGTGTAGTCAGAATCCAAAACGAATTTTCAAGACCCTTCCATTGTAAAAATAGACTGAGACAGGGAGATGGACTGTTGTGTCTCTTATTTAACCTTGCACTAGAAAAAGTAATTCGAGAGTGCCATATTAATACGAATGGCACCATGTTTAATAAATCTGTACAAGTGGTCAGATATGCAGATGACATAGACATTATTGCTAGGTCCACGGAATCTCTGATTGAAGCATTTCGATCATTAAGGGCATTTGCACTGAGAATGGGATTAAAAATAAACGCACAGAAAACAAGTATATGTATTGTACTAGATCAGGCAACCAGATACCTAGACTATTAATTGATGATTTGAAACTGGAAGGTGTGGACACCTTCTACCTGGGTAAGACCTGACCAAAGACAACAATGTCAGCGAAGAAATTAAAAGAAGAATAGTGCTTGCCAATAAGTGCTATTATGGCTTGAGGAAACAGATGGCCACAAAACTACACAGAATAATTAAAATTACCATATATAAAACACTAATAAGGCCAGTGTTAACATACGGGTCAGAAACCATGGTCACTCACACAGAACGACCAGGAAATGCTTAGACGTTTCGAGAGAAAAATTCTAAGGAAAATATATAGAGGAATCCAAGAACAGGGTTTGTGAAATAGGCGCTACAACTTTGAATTATACAGAAGTTTTGGGGAAGCTGACATTGTAAAATTTATTAAATTAGCATGATTTCGATGGATAGGACATGTAATTAGGTGAGATGAAGATGCAATGAACAGAAAATTTTTCGACCGAAGAGGACCAGTGGGAAGACAATCCAGAGGAAGACCAAAACTTAGGTATCAAGATAACATAGAGCATGATCTAAAATCCATCGTAGTTAAAACATGGAGAAGAGTTGCCAGAGACAGGGACGAATGGAAGATTGTTCTGAAGAAGGCTTTGGCTCATAACGAGCTGTAATGTCACTGATGATGATGATAACCTTTAATTGTGGCCTATTCCCATTTATTTAAATAGTAATTACTTTAAAATGCCACAAGAAAATCGCTTCAGAACAATATTAAAAATATATTGTTATATTAGTGTTTTTTATTTTGTATCTGTTTTTTTTTTCAATAAAATATTTTCAAAAATATTTTTCAGTTATTCCTATACACAATATAAAATACAATAATTGTATGAATTTTATAGCAAAAACTATTTTTTTTTAATTGTCAATCTCAGAAACTGTAGAGACTCTTGATGCTCAGTTTTTCCTAGCGACTAACTGAGGGTTAATAATTACTTATAAATATGAATATTTAAGTGCATATTTTCAGGATTTTAATGCATATCTGCAAGCAAATATTACCTATTTTAAATGCATAATTATCCAAACTCTAGTGATGATGAAGAAAGTCAACCTTTTAAGTCTATTAAGTAAGTCAGTCCAACTACTGATGATAAAACTTTACATGTCCTTTTAAATATACAACAGAATTCTAAAATGTCATTAATTATAATATATTATAAAGAAATCATCTATCATATTTTGTACAACTCATTTTGCACAAATTTTTAACTTAATAATAATTAACTGGAGATAATTTTGGTCAACAATTGAGGGGCTCGGCAGTAAATAATGGTAACGGACAAATTTTGATTTTTCCCGAAATATTATGTAAAAGATGGCAAGGGACATGGCAACGCAGAAAACTTGACTTATTTTATCCTCCGAATAATAGGTGGCGTCAGATTAATTTCTTAAATTTGGTAAGGGACATGCATAAGCATGAAAATAATGTTATGTGTCCATGATGGCGGAATACAAAGCAGGTTGTTCAAATCTAAATGACTTTTTTGATGTTAATAGTGACAATTCTGAGAGCTATGATGATTACGACTCAGATAAAGATCCTGAATTTCAAATATTTAGTGAAGCTAGCTCGATTAACTTTCTACAAAGAAGGTAATTTATTTATATTCTTAGAATCATTGTTTGCAAGTAAAAAATGGTAAAGGATGTACTTAACATTGTTTACATCCACATTCACTTTGCATAAAAACTTAACATTTTTTACTTGCAAATATGAAAATGAATTCTCTGCAGCACTATAATACTTAATATTATTTTTATTTATGTTTTAGAAAACTTTTGAAAGAACATGGACTTCAAGAAATTTCTTCTCACACATACCCAGAGTCCAGTACTGAAGAAGAAGAGGAGGAAGAAAAAGAAAATAGAGGAGAATTAAATGAACACAGTAAACAAGAAAAAGAATATTCTGTTTCAGACACAAAATCTAGAAAAAGGAAACGCAATTTAAGTAAGCAATTAAAAACAAAAGAGCTCAGAAATCGCGGAAAAGAATATAAACAATACAGAGGTAAGGGAAATATTGTTTTATCAAAAACACAAGGTCCACCGTGTAGTTGCCCCAATAAATGCTATGAGTTATTTGCTTCTCATGAAGAACTACAGACAATTTTTGTTAATTTTTGGGGCATGAACAGTTTTGATACACAAAATGCTTACTTACAAGGTTGTATGAGATCTAAAAATGTGACTAGGAAGAAAACTAAAGCACTAGTGTCAAAAAGATCTCAAACTATTGAATATAAATTAAAATCACAAGGGAAAGATGTTAAGATATGCAAAATGGCTTTCCTAAGTATCCATGGCTTACAGAAAAATCGAGGTCGAGTTGAAAATCTAGTAAAACAATTAAAAACTGGATCAAATACTCCAAAATCAGATCTAAGAGGTCGACATTCAAATCATCCTAAAAAATATTCCAATTCTGATATAGATTTTCTGAAATCTTTTATTGAAAGCTTACCTAAGTACAAAAGCCATTACACCCGTGCTGACAGTTCTAGACAATATATGAGTATGGAATATTCTATTCAGACTTGTTATGAGAAATATGTAGGAGAATGCATTTTGAAAAAGATAACTCCAGTTTCTGCAGATAAATTCAGAAGAATATTTACTGAAGAATATAATATAAGTTTCAAAACTCCGAAAATGGATACATGTCAAGCATGCGATAAGTTTTCAGTAGCTTTAGAAAATGCTAAGTTACACAATGATGAAACTGAGGTTAAAAAAATTAAAACTGAACAAGAATTACATCACAGAAAAGCTGAAGCAGGTCAACAGGCAGTCAGAGACGCAGTAGAGGAAGCAAACTTAAACCCAGATGTGCATGCAATTAGTTTTGATCTACAGCAAACCCTTCCCACACCAAAGCTTACCACTGGTCCCATGTTCTATAAGAGAAAATTATGGTGCTATAATTTAAGCATACATTCCCTTGGAGATGGTCAGGGTCACTTTTTTATGTGGGATGAATCCACTGCTAAAAGAGGGTCGGACGAAATAGCTAGCTGTCTCAAAATGTACTTTGAGAAAAATAATATTCATGGCAGAAAACTAATAGCTATTTCAGACAATTGCTGCGGACAAAATAAAAACTGGACCATCATTGGTCTTTGGCTATATCTTTTACAAAATGACTATTTTAAAGAAATAGTTCATATATTTCCTCAGGTAGGACATACAATGTTGCCAAGCGACAGAGACTTTTCTGTTGTAGAAAATTATGTCAAGAAAAACTGTGAAATGGTATATTCGCCCAATCACTGGGAAGATATTTTGAAGAAGTGTCAGAAAAAGAAACCTTTTCTAGTAACTAGGGTCCAGCAAGAGGATATATACGATTGTTCAGTACTGAAAAGCTATTTTAATCAACCGGTAGGTATTTTACAAAGTAGTGTGAAATTATGTCTATCTTCAGAAGTTCCCAGAAATATACAATATTCAGCATCATACAACGGATTATTTAATTCCATGTCCTTGAATAAAAGAGGAAGACCAACAGCTACAGAAGAAAAATTTCCTACACTTACTCAAAAATATAATCATCCCCTTAGTATTCATTCAGAAAAACTGAAAGATGTAAAATCATTCTTGGAATGGATTCCAGCTGTTTATCACGAATGGTATATAAATTTAAAATAACCTCCTAGTACCTACCAAATTATGTTATGTTAAGTCAACACCACTTAACATGTTACGTTAAATTTTTCAAATATTTTAGGTAAATAATGTTAAGTTGTAGTACATATTTTCATATTTTCCTCAATAAACATTGTAAAAAAAATATTTGGTATTTCATATTTTGCCTCCTGATTAACAACATAATCAGCTAATTTTAGCATTATTCATAGTTTTATATTTTTTAATAAAAAATATAACAATATTTTTTTTTAAATTCAACACTTCAAAACTCAAATCTTCTTTATTGTCCCTTACCATTTTTTACTGCCGGACCCCTCAATTAGAGTTTTGCGAAAATGTAAGAGAGAAAATAAGGATTTATTTTCTCTCTTACAATTTTTCAGATGATATATTAGTGATGAAGCCACTTACTTCTTTTATTTGTTAGTTTTTCTTCAACTTGTTCTATTTCAGTTTTTGGAGAGTTCTCATGTAAAACTAAATAATCAAATGCATCATGTGCACTTTCTCTCTTGGGCTCCTCATTAATCTCAATTTTGTAGTTATCAAGTAGAGCGTCATTCACCTCATTATCTTCTATTTCTATTTTATATGAGTCGTCGCTAAACTCTTGTTTTACTTCCATTTGATCAAACTTGATTCTTGATTTTGGTTATCTCTATAACATTTTGCTTACTTTGCTACTTTTTCTTTTAAGTATAGTGTTTTTTACGATAACACCATCACAAATATCACAATTCAGTGTTCTATTTCTATGAAATATAGTTTAAAAGTATACATTAAGGACATTCTAACTTTACTTTATTGATGCATGCATTTTATTGCTATTTTTATAAAACAACATGCTTTATTATTTACACAACCTTGTAAACTTGCTGTAGTAACTATTAGAATACTTAGATATTGCAAGAAGTGGAAAGATTCTGTAATAATATTAAAAAATAACGAAAAATACAAATTATCCACACTAAACAACGTTTGTTTGGAAAGTGAAGTGAAACTGACAGATCAAATCTAAATCTACGTCATCGTCATCACTCCTGCGGTCCATTCATAGAGAAATAAGAAATAACAAATAAGTTTATTGTTATTTCTCTATGGGTCCATTGCTCTTTTGCGTATTGCCCGGTGGTTTCTACTATTATTATCTATTTCTATTATTTATCTGTGCGGTAACCCTAATTTGTATTTAGTGGCTATGGAAGTAAAAACTGAAATTAAGGAAGAGTTTGAGGAATGTCACCTAAGATATATAAATAGTCAGTTAAACTTATCCACAAATCTTGAAGATTTGATGAATGAACCAGAAGACAATTCAGGTAATACAAGTAAAATTATTGTTAAACAATGTGGTCTAATTTGTATTTATTAGCCAAGGAAATAGAAGCTGAAATTAAGCAAAGGCTTGTTAAAGGTGATCCAAGATATATAGAGAGTCAGTTATCTTCATTCACAAATCTTGGAGGTTTGAAAAATGAACCAGAAGACAATTCAGGTAATATATGTAATATTAGTGCTAAACAATGTGATCTAATTTGTATTTATTAGCTATGGAAATCAAAGCTGAAATTAAGGAAGGATTTGTTGATAGTGATCTAAGATATATTGAGAGTCAGTTATCCACCACAACAGATCTTGAGGATCTGAAGAATGAATTCAAAGATAACTCAGGTAAGACAAGCAATTATTGTGATATTTGTTTTGTTATCCTCAATATCATTTGTTTCTTTGATTACAGCATTATAAAGTGAGTAGGAAGTCATACATAAATATTTCAAATTTCAGCCTACATTTACCATCTCCTTTTACCCTTAGCATTACCAATATAACAAATACAAATGTTCGTATATCTAAGGGTATGATGGCGATAACGAGACTGATTTTGATATATATTTTATATAAGCTTTAGTAAGTTTATAAGAAGTTTTCTCAAACAGGTCTTTTGAAAATTTATTTCAGATTATAATCACACTAATAAGTTTTGTTTACTAAGATTTGTCACTAGTGTAACATCCAACCTCTTATGTGTTAGTGAATACCTTAATTTAATATATGCCACATAATTCTTTGTGAGAAAATCAACTATAATCCTTTTACCTTATGAAGGCCTATATGTAATTAATATATGATCAGTGGGCCTCAAACAGTGGGGCATTAATATTTAATTTCTATTGCTTGAAATATAAAAATATTTAATTTCCTGTATTTTATGTTCAGTAATAATATTGGATTTTACTGTATCAAAGGCAAATAAAATGAATATAATATGTATATACAGGACAGTTAAAAGAAGTGGGACGGAATATTTCGAATAATCTAAATTATTTGTCAACATCAAATGTTCATCAAGATCTTTATAAGTCTCTATTATGCGTAGAGTAAAAATTATATGAATGGTTTTGCATGCAGTTAAATTGAAAAATACTTGCCAAGTTGCTGGTATGTCCAAATTTGAATAAAATACATTCAAGACTTTACTTTCTGCAAACACTGTATTAAATATAACCTTGAAACAATTTGGCACTAAATCACTTCAGAGTTTTCAGCAAAACAAAATGTTTAAACACATGTAGTCCAGTAATTAATACCAAAGCTATTGTGAGTATGCAGTCCAGTAATTAGACCAAAGATACTTTCAAAGATCTTTGACCAAAGATCATTTGTCTAAAACACACCACAAAGTTTGAATTGAATTCCCGAAACACTCTTTTGTTCCTTCTTTTTAGCAAACGATTTGTCCTATTCACTGTCCAATATTTCACTAGCAGAGTCGTCACTATCTGAATTGTCTATACGAATAATTAGAGGCCGGACCTCATCTATAACTCGCTCGGTTTGAAAAGACTGAACGATTATGTCTTCTGTATGTCTAATACAATTTTGCCATTGTTATGCCTTTATTTGTTCTAGCGATTCTTTCCATAAACCAAGAATGCTAGCTTCATCTTTTGTTTTGGATGCATGTTTATCATAAAAATTTTTGGCTATACCCCAAACTAACTCAATTGCATTATAGTGACAATGGTAGGGTGGAAGTGGAAGAACTTCATGGCCATATTTAAGAGCCATTTGGTCAGTAACAAAGTTCTTTTGAATTTTGTGCTCTCCACACCTTTGCAGTAAATCGACTTTTAAAAATATGTCACTGTGATAAATTTTCTTTTCTGTCAACCACAACTTTATTTTTTCTTTTGTCCAGCTACTTGAAGGAAATATCTCTTCTACTCTTGAGTGGTTTCTTCAAAAATATTTGCATCCATATTCGCATGGTCATCTGTATAATCACCATAATCACCTGTATTCTTTGTTGACGAAAAAATTAAACTAGCGTCAGGAATAAAACTCTCATCATTTCCAGCATGAAGTATAATGTAGCATTTATCATTACCGGAATGACTAGAAGAATAACATTTCTTGGTGTCATCTTGCCAAGATGATTTTGACATATTTCCTTTAGCGAAAATCCAAGTTTCATCTAAAAATACAACTGCCTCGGACTATCAGACATTTTATTGTATTAAATATGTAATACTTGTCTATTATTTGTCTTTTTATATTGAAAACCTAAATGTCTCAACACTCTCCACAAACTTGTTAAACTAATATCACACAGTTCCTTGTCTTTTATTTTTTGCAACACAGCACTGTTACATGTTTCTTTGGCTTTATACATATTATATATAATATTTTTAATTGCAAGTTTAATTAACTGATGCAAATCTAAAGAATTTGGACGTTGACGATTTCTCTTGCTTACTTTATTTATTTCATCCTCACTCATGTTATTAATTCTTCGGAATCTCCTCTCTGAGATACCACAAGCATCGCATGTGCGTTTCTGAACTGCCATAACAGATGTCAATGGACCCATATTATTTTCTCTAAATTGAAATAACTTTTGACTTTTAGAACTAAACGCCGTTCTTCTGGAGATAACACTGTATGTTTCGACTGTATTTTGTTTTCTTCCAAATTACTTATTTTACTTTAAAGTACCGCTTCACTACACTACTATAAAAATAGGTACTTATATACAACTACTAGACCCTAAAAAGGACGAGGGTTGTACAACAGACGAAAAAATCGAACACAAATTATTTAACAGCCAATGCTAAACAAACATAACCACTGTATTGATTGTGATTGCAAAAACCATTCGCATGTTTTAAATAAGGTTTTTGCTGATTATGTATTTTGTTAAATTATTAAAATACAAAAATACAACCCACGACCATCATTTAATTTTTAAGGATATACAGAAGAGAAATATGATGACGTTTGAATTTGATCTACTTTATCGATGACAGTGTCGTTAATAGCAAGATATTTTAAACAGCATGAATCATTTTTCAATGATTGTGTGGATTTAAGAAATACATTACTAAACAAATTTTTTAAGTGTGTATAAAATCTTAACTGTCTTTTTTCCTGAGATTACAATTATTATGACACATGGTATTTACTCCTTATTTTTCAAATAATATGTTCTTGTAAATACATAACTTTGATTATTGGGTAAACCTATATTATAGAAGAAATTAAAAAAAATTAACATTGCAATAAAATTATAAACCAATAAATTTTAACTTGTTGAGCAGTGCTGATTGAAACAACAGAGCAGTAAAATGTTATTCATAAAGGTAGTGTAAAATATATCGCCGCTTATCTGGTCCGCCAGTAATAAAGTTACCAGCATTTAATTGCAATGCAGTCTTCTTAGGTGAAAAATCCAAGGTTTTAATGAAATCCTCAAATACCAAATATGTATTAGAAATAATATTAATTGTACTATTAAAAAATATATTTCTTCCCTTTTTAGAATGTTTAAAAAAGTTTCAATGAAAACTAGATTTTTCAACAAAAAACAACATATACCAAAAAATATAATCACACTTGTTTAATAATAATATAAGTTTTGTTTGCTAAGTTCTGTTACTAGTGTAAGATATAGCCTCTTATGTGCTAGGTTAATCTGTGAACCCAATATGGTCTAAATATAGCTTGTAATAATTATTGTACATATTTGAATAGGTACACTAGTATACTATGAAATAATATTTCATATAGGTCACAGAAATAATGTTTCTGTGACCATTTAGTTGAATTATTGCTCATCGTAGTACTTGATACAAAGTATCACACTTGATACTTTGTATCAATGAGACTCTTTAAACTATAATTAATTGATCCCCAACGAGTTTTAACTGGCAGTTTAAAAATAGGTGCCACCTTTGTCTCACTTTTTCAAGCTGAATTGAGCTTTAATTTTTTCTTCTAAAGAAGCCATTGCTTTTGTTTTAGAAATGTCACCAATTAGAAATCATATTATGATACTTTACAGCGTTTTCTGTGGTCTGTGCAACATAATTTTCAAATAACAAAAGACAAGTCAATATCTTTAAACTTAAAAACAGACTTAATGTGCTAGTCAGTTTGACAATGAGATTTTACTGAATAGAAGAAAATAATATCTTTTAAAGCAAATAAGTAGTTAGAATATACCATTAAATAAGATTATATTATAGTACAGTAATAAAAGTAAAAAAAATGTAAAATATGAAAATAAATACTAAATACTTTCCCAAACCTTTGAATAGCGACATTTCCAGTGATAACAAGTAAGTACTGGAACTTACGATCGGTACAGTTTGCTCTTAATCGGCAGTAGTCTTCAATGTAGATAGATATATTTAGGGAGGTAGCCTTTTGGCCTCTGCCACTGCGATCTTTTCAGATCTATTGTGATCCTCTAGCCCTAGTTAACATTCTCTAGCCTGACCCTTTTTGTAAAGTGTAATAGCTTCGAAACTGTACCTTCCATGTAGCTATTTGCCGGTGGATTTTCTTCTCCTAATGCAAAGAACCGCACATTTGCCAGACTGTCACACTGACATAGAATGTGCTCTGCTTTTTCTTCTTCGATGTGACAGAATCTGCACAGGTCATCATCTGATAATACCATCAGCTACAAGTGCCTATTCAGCTTACAGTGTC